AGCGCCGGGCAGCCACCCGCCCGGCTCCTCCAGCCACAGCTGACCCGCGGCTCCGCCCTGTGCCAGGGCTTGTCCCCTGCCCCTCCCTGGAGGCCGGAGACTGCGCAGTGTCTGCCCTGACCTCCAAGGCCCGACGCAGGCGGACAGAGCCTGGGCCACCCGGAGCGCTTCTCCCCTGCATGTGCCACGCCCGCCGCCCCCCCCCACCCTCCAGACCCCGCGGCCAAGCACCACCACCGCTCTCACCCCCGGCAGCCCTGGGTGTCCCGGGCACAGGCCTCTGTCCCACTGCGCCCCGGGGCGGGTGCACACGGCAGGCTCCCATGCACACCGCAGGCCAGACACCCACCCACCGCCCAGACTCGGGGTGCCCACGGCAGAGGGGCCTCTGGGGGCTGAGGAGCACACACCACGAGGTGTGACTGTCCGTGAGCGCCGCGCCACCGGTAACGACCCCGTGCCCTGTCCAGGTTAACGGCCAGAGGGTTAACGGCCCTCGGCAGCACACCGGGCCATTAGCCGCTGGGGCGCCCACACCTCGGTGGCCGTGGCTGCAGCGGAGGACATTAGAGCGCCGACGACAATGTCTCGCCGGAACCGGTGATCGGGGAGCACGGCGGCGCCCATTACCTGGCCAGGCCCCGTGACCGGAGCCGGGCCAGAGGCCGGCCGCCGCCTCCCCGCCCCCTCCCGCCCCTCCAGGGGCTTCTGTGCGGCCTGAATCCCTTTCCTGCGCAGCACGCATGTGTGAGCTGTGTGTCTGTGCGTGTCTGCATATCTGTGTGTGTGTGTATCTGTGTGTGTGTGTGTGTGTGAGAGAGAGAGAGGTGCCCCAGTCTCCGCTCTGCGACGCCGGCATCTTCTTACTCTGCTGCCCTGGAAGGTGGCTGCACCCCTCCCCCGCTGACAGCCGGGTCCCGCCTCCTGTGACCACAGGGCAGACCGAGGGCCCTGTGACAGGCGTGGGGAAGGCCCCTCTGAGCGAGGCCAGCGGTGGCCGCGGTGGCCTCCTGGGATGTGGCCTTGCCCCCAGGGAGGCAGGATTTACCCGCCCGAGGAGAGGGGTCCCTGGGCCCTCGGGTGCGGCCCTCAGTGGTGGACTCGCGCCCGGAGCGTCTGAGCTCTGGGGGCCCAGCCCTTCGTGTTCCCGGCGGTCCTGCCCCCTGCCGCCCCGCCCGCCGCCCCAGGGCAGTTTCCCCGGAAACCCGGGCTGCGTTCCTGTGGCCGCGCCCTTCCCTGCGCCAGAGGGCGAGCACGCAGCAGACACTGGCCGCAGTGGGTCGGTGCCGCCGGCTGGGAGGGAGACAACGGCCCCCACAGGGCTCACCCTCCCCCACACCCGCCCAGCCTGACGCCCCTGTCCGGGTCCTCGGCCCCTGGAGTCACACGGCCCTGGGCCAGGGACCCCGACAGCCCACAGGGTGGAACAGCCAAGTCCGTGTCTCCCTTCAAGGCCCTCCTTCTGCCGAACCCCCGGCCGGTGGCCTGAGTGCAGGGCCGTGAAACTCCGTCCGGGGCCCGGGCTCCCCTGGGCTCTGGGAGATGCCCCCCAGGACAGAGCAGGGGGAGCAGGGCCCGTGGGCACCGTCAGCTCCCCGCAACCACGCGGCCCACGGGGACATGCTCCCTCCAAGGGGGAGGCCAGCAGGAGACCCTGTGTGGTCTCAGCTGCCACCTCGGCCCCTCGGACAGAGCACCGTCAATCTGAAAGTGGCCGGTGGCGGGTTACGGGGCCTCCCCTCTCCCCCGGATGAGGCCGCGCCTGGGCAGAAGCGGGGGACAGGCTGACCCGGGGCCCCCCGGCACGGAGTGAAGAGCCCCGGGAGATGGCCCCCGCAGCGGGCCCACGGGAGGCAGAGGGGAGGGTCTCCCCCACTGTCAGGTGGGTGCCCGGGGCCAAGGGAACCCCACCCTCTCCTCCCCAGGGGGCTCTGCGAGGGCTCTCATCCCCGGGGCGCGGCGCCTCAAGCCCACACAGACTCTGCACTCTGCGCACACGCGTGCCCACGGGAACCGGTCCCTGCCTCCGATTCACAGCTCCTGACGACGGCCCCACGGCCGGCACGCCCGCGCGGCGGCGGCGGCGGCGGCGGGGAGAGCCCGGCGGGCGGCCGGGCGGCCGCTCCTCACCCCGGCTCTCCTTTCCGCTCAAATATTGTGCCCCGTCCTGATTAATACCAGACCCGTAAAATCATCCCCGCAATCTGCTCCGAGGCTTTTGTCTTCCCAGATGGCCCGCGACGCTAATGTGTGACAATTTCAACAATGAACTAGGACTGTTTTATGGAACCAACATTTGTTCCACTGCTTTTTTTTTTAGACTCAGAATTTTGACACAGATGGTACAAATTACTCAAAAAACAGAAATGTTCATTTAGAAGGCTTAAATATGTGGTTTTACTCAGGCCATCGAATATTTTACATTTGCAATTCAGTAAATTTACTAACAACCCTGCTATAATTAAGGTCTGAAAAAAAAATCCCCTTTCTCCAGCTTTTTATATCTATAGAGTTTCGTTTAAGCCAGGAAAAAATATATTATTATTTATTCTCGCTGCGCCACGTCCCCGCTTCCTGGCCGCGCACGCTGCTCGCCTCTGCGTTCTGTCCCCTGCCGGCTGCCGAGGACAGGGGGTGGGCTGCTGCCCGGGGCCCCCACACACACACCCCCCCACAGCGCTGCCACCGCCCGAGCCAGGTTTCACTCCGAGTCACCGGTCTCAGCCGGTGCAGCCGCAACAGCTGCCAGAAGCTTCTCCCACAGGGGAGGTGATCTCGGCCTCACCCCGCCGGCCCTGCAGGGCCGCCCTCCCCAGCTGCAGACCCCTTTGTTCCCACGTTGCCAGGGCTGCCCACCCCCCCCCCGCCCCCGGCTCTCAGAACGCGGCCCCGCTCTGTCCCTGCCGCCCCGAGCCACGGGGCTCGCTCTGCGCCGGGCACGCTGCCAACACCGTTCACGGGGGTCGCTTCGAGGGACAGGGGTGCCGTCTCCAGGCCAGCAGGAGGGAGCTGAGGCCCAGAGGGGCTGCGTCAAGGCCAAGGCCTCAGGCCGGTGTCGCCGTAGGCGCGGAGCGCCAGCGGTGAGTGCGAGCCACGTGCACAGCACCCGGTGTTTTCCGAGCGCTTCCGCTGGGCCGGGCACCCAGGGGTTTCCCACGGGGGGTCTCAGTGGACCCCCCTTTTAATACTGTGGGGACGGAAGGCACAAACCCTGGCTTTTCAGAGCAACCACAGCCCCCTGAACCTGGAGGGGGCGTTCCGGGCCGGGGTGGGGGACACAGGACGGGGGCGTGCTGCGATCTTTGCCGGGTGTCTGGACACCGGGCGCCAGCCAGGGGTCACCGTCACTTCCGACATCCTTGCGGAAGTCCGAGGGCCCACAGAAGCCCCCCCGTGGGACTCCCCTGGTCCTGGGGGACGTCCAGGCCCCAGAGCACACCCCCGGGGCTCCTCTCCCGAGCCCCGTCTGGGGGGCTCCTGGTTAAGCTCCAGTCGCCCTCAGGGGGCCTGCAGCCGACAGACACGTGGGCGTCGTGTCCGGCTTGAGGTCTCGTCTCGGACAAACGCACCGTCCCCCAGAACCTGGCAGAACCGCGACACCTGGCTCTTCCTTCCTGCCCAGAACCCGAAGAACCGTCTGTTTAACCGTTTTCCAAAATCCCCTTCCCGATACCGACGCCTGTAACAGAAGCAGCGCCCACGTCCTGCTTGCCGCCCCGTGGCCCAGCGCCTGGGCCGCACCCCTCCCCCAGCTTTGCACACCAGGGGGCGGCCGGCCCCATCCCAGCCCCAGTCCCTGCCGTCCGAGCCCGTGCACAAATTGCGTAGTGAGACTTCAGAACAAAAAAAGAAGGGGAAGAAGAAGGCGGTGGCATGCACCACTGCCCCTCGATAATCCCTGCAGAAGGGCCACGCGTGCCTGGGATGCCTCCTGGAAGGGCTGCCAGCGGAGCGAGCTCCCAGCATTGCAACGTTGTTTCCATTAACATCAGCCCCTCCGTGCAGAGGAGCCAACAGTGTCACCATGTTGCCGCTATGAGCTAATGCGTCCTAAATATATTGACAGCTGTCTTGGACAGGGGGATGCAAATGAGGGTGGGGCGGCGGGGAGCGGGCCCCGGACGAAATGTCACCGCCGGGCGCCGGTGGGCACCTCCCGCCGCCACGCACCTCGCAGCCACGGCCCCGCCAGCACCCCGCACACTTCCTGCTCGCGACGGCAACGTTGCGGTGATCGATGTTTTGCATATTACGATCAATAACACGCTTAAATGTTTAAGTTTTGCATTCTTTTGCAATAAATATTGATACATTACAAACTCTGTTAAAACTGTTCATTGGACTTTCTGTTTGCACTGTGTGCTGTATCATTCAGCAAATAAGTGAGCTAAATATTGTTTGTTACAAAACAGATGTCAAATAAAATTATGCCATATGTGCTATTAAACACTTTCCTTATTTTTTTTTTCCCCAGCAAAACCCAAGACTTAGTTTCAGAAGTGTGTTTGGCTTCTCAAGGATTTGAAGCATGAAAGCAACGTCTTTGAAATATTTTTAAACCTGCTGGCTTTGTGTAATCCAGTTTTGTGAGCTAATCCGGAATGTGAGCGCTGGTTTGACATTAAAAGTGTAGATGGAGACACGGACACACTCGTGACAACCCAGGGACCCGGCCCCATCCAGGGCTGCGGAGGGAGGAGCTGGGCGGCCGAGGAAGCCCCTGCAAAAATGTTTTTAAATTATAAATAAATATAAACACGGAGAGACAAGGAAGCAGGAGGGCTGCTTCTCTGTGACCAGAGACGCTGACAAGGTGGGAAACTTGTGCCAAACCGGGACCAGAGAGCGAAAGCCGGTTGCAGAGGCGGCGGCGGCGGCCCGGCTGGCGCGGACGCAGGGTCAGGAAGGAGGCAGGTCAGGGTGCAGGGCGTCACGGGGGCCGTCCGGACCGGTGTCCCTGCCGCGCCGGCCCCCGTGTTCCCTCGGCGGCGGCCCCGGCGATGGAGGTGCCCGCCCTGGAACAGCGAGGTGAGCGGCAGAGGGAGCAGAACTCACCACACGTGCGGCTGAGAGCCACCGGGCCCCCGGGCCGGACAGAACCCCGGTCCCCGCCCTCGGGCGCTGGTGCCCCCGCCCGGCTCCACCCGCAGCCGGAGGGGCGGGCATGGAGGCAAAGAGGCCAGACCTCGGGGAGAAACTGGGAGGGTCGCGCTGGCCGCTGGTGTGACCCCGGGGATTGCCTGCGGGGACTGAAAGCGCGGTGGGCCCTGGTTCCTCCGACACTGGCCGGGCCCCAGAGTCAGCGGCTTCTGCCTCCTGCCAGGCCGGACCATCCCCAACCGCCCTGCACCCCTGCACCCCCGCACCCCCGCACCCCTGCACCCCTGCACCGGACCCCGCCATGGGCCAGGTGCTCTGGGGCGCTGCCCCCCGGCCCACACCGCAGGCCTCCCTCTGCCCCCTGGGGTACCCTCCCCTCACATACACACACACTCACACACACTCACACACACTCACAAACACACTCACACACCCTGAGCAGCTGCAGGAGTTCACGGCCCGGAGCACGGGGTCAGGCTGGCGGGCGCGTGTCCCCATTTGGTTCCCCAGGTGGGCAGTGGAGAGGCGTGTCCTAGGACACCCTGGAGGACCAGGAACCAAGCCCCCGGGCCCAGACTCCGGGAGGCGTTCTGTGCGGCCCCACCCCTCCCAGCCCTCCCTGGGCCCCCAGCCTCACCTGGCCTTGTCCCCGGGCTCAGAACCCCCAGCCCAGCCCCGCTGACCCCGGGCCCTGGGGCCCTCGTGGTCATTCGGGCCCCTGTCCTCGCCCCAGCACCCGGCCAGGGCCCGGGGCAGCTCTCCCGGAGCTGCCGGGGGCGCAGGCTCTCCGGGCGCGCAGCCCGCCTGCGCCAGGTGGCCGGTCTGTCCGGCTGATGGCCGCTCCCAGGGGCCACTGTTCCCTTCAGAGGCACGTCCTCGAGTCCCTAGGGAGAGACGCCCCGCACCAGCAGCCCTGGCACCGTGACTCCGGGTCCAGACGCACTGTGGGGGCCCGAGGTGACCCTGAGGGCCTGGACCCCGGGTCCACCGGCAACTGTGGCCCGTCTGCCCAGGTCACCCTGCTGCACCCCTTCCTCAGCCCCCGGGCCGCCTTCAGCCGCGTGGGGCCCAGCCCAAGTCCGGCCCGGGAGTTTCCGTGTAGAAGGTGACAGGCAAGAGCACACGTCCCCAGCGTCTCGGGTGACAGGAACCTGTCCACAAACCTCAGCCTCCAGCTCTGCAGCGGCAGCCAGGCCCCGAACGTCCCGCTGTCCCCGGGGAGGTCTGGCCAGGCCTGTGGCCGGCGGGTCAGCCCCACGGGGGGGCAGGAGGAGGCTGCGCAGCCGGAGGCGGACACCCAAGATCCCACTGTGCCCGCCTGGGTGTGAGCTTAAGTCTGTCACGGGGCCACTTCCCAGCCAGGCACCCGGTGCCCCTCCTGTACAGTGCCTGGGACCTGGGCCTCGGTGACCTTGACCTTATACGCTCGGGGCAGGCAGGGGCCAGGGGATGCCGACCATTCGACCAGAAGCCGCCATCCCAGAGGCCCACGGCGACAGGCAGGGGCGCGAGGGGCGCTGCAGCCCCGAACTGCTGGGGAGCGAGGGGGACCACCCGCCCCCGCCACACACACCCCCGTGTGCACGGGGCTCCGACACCGTGCACCTGGGGTCGCACCGCCTCCGCTTCTTTCCGAAAAATCTGGGGAAAAAATCTGAACTTAACAACAAAACATAAAAACAAAACAGCTGCCTGCAGGCCAGACGGGCAGCGGCCCAGGGCTGGACGGAGCCCACAGGCCGGGCTGCACAGCCACACGCGCTCAGCCGCGAGCCCCCGCCAGCCCCCGCTCTCCGGCCAACCCCGGGGACCCAGGCCCTGGACGCCGCCGGACGCCCCGGCGGGGAGGGTGGGGGCGCGGGGAGGGATGGGGGGGGTCTCGGCGGCCTCTCCGGGAGCTAACAAAGGAAGATTCCTGAGGCCGGATCTCAAAATGTTAATCAGATTCAGAGACATAAAACACGACAATGGAACGGTGTTTGGTGGGAGCCAAGGATTCTTTAAAGTTCTAACTACCCTACATTGAATCTGAATACTTTTTTAATTATTAGATATAAAATGCTTATAATTTTAGGGGGGAATTAGACTTGGTAATTTATATTTCTTGTTTATACAGTACAATTTGCTGATGAAAAAATGTGCTAAACTTATTGATTCATGACCATAATTGTTTAATTATTTATCAGTGCAGAATGGTATTAGCATTGCTAATAATGCAGATGTGCGCAAAGGCTGGGGAGGCAGGCACGGCTTTTGTCTGGGGTGCGCAGGGCCCGCGGGTGGCTGCCTCAGGCTGGGGGGGCGGCCTGCCTGGGGCGCGGGGCAGAGCGGCCACCGCAGTCTCCTCCGCCCTGGTGGCCGCAGGACTGCGGGTCCGAACACGGGTCCCACCTGGACTCCGAGCCCAGGCTGGGGGTCAGTTCACGGCCACTGGGAGGGTCCTTCCGTCTACCCAAAGCCTGGGGGGTCCTCAGCCGCTCACCCCGCAAGGCCCAGCGGACCTCCACAGGGTCCGAAGAGAGAGCACCAGGCCCCCGAGTCTGGAGGGGGCCGACAGAAGTTTCCAGCACTCCCCAGAGTCCCTGTCCACTACTGTCACCTCCATCTCGACCGGGGACAAACCCACAAGGAGGCCGAAGGTGGCGTGTGGCCGACTTTCAGACCCTCTGAAGCCGCCTGTCCGTCCCCCAGGCGGGGAACCTGAGCCGGGGAGAGGTCACCGTAGGCCCCCCGGGCATCCAGCAGGGGCGTGGAGGGGCCGCAGACCACGGGTCCGACGCTCAGAGCCGAGGACTGGCCGGTGGACTGGTCCCTCGCTCGGCAGCACGGGGTCGTCCGCCCACCTCCCTGCCACGGTCCCCAGCGGGCCCGCACCCTCCTCGGGCCCCCGGACCCGGGGTTGACCAGAAGCCCCCCAGTGGGGCGAGAGCTGACACAGTGGACGTGGAAGGTTGGAGCTTCAGTGCGGTGGGCGCTGCGGGCCTCGGGTCCGGCTCTGCCACAAGACGGCCACACCCGTGCGGCCGGGCTGTCCCCCCAGCCACAGACGCACAAACAGATCACGCATGCTCACCGCACTCCGGCCAGACGCCGTGGCCCCGTGGCACCCCAGAATCTCCGGACGCCCGGCCCAGGGGCGTGGCTTCCAGCAGACAGCTGCCTCTGCCTCGGGGCGAGGCCGTGGCCGAGGGTGGGAGCCCCGGACCCAGCGGAACACCCCCGGCCCCGGGCTGGAGGCCTGGGGAGTGGCTGGTGCCGTGCCGGGAGCACCGGGCCCTGCTGGGGCTCCCGCTGCCCTGGGAGACAGAGCCCCAAATTACCCCAGGCTCCAGGCCCTGAGCCACAGTGTCCCCCATCCCTGGCGCTGAGGAAGCGGGGGCCTCGCCCGGCACCCCTCCCCAGGCCTGGCTGCACACACGGCCAGTCACGCACATGCTCCCTGGGGAGAGTCGGGTCAGGGGAGCAAGGCCCCCACGGCCCAGCCCGGCCCTGACAGAGGCCCAGGAAGGGCGGGTGTCTGCTTCTGGCCCGGCGCCCCAAGGGCAGGGGGAGCGGGCAGCTCTCTCCACGCCCCCCAGGCTAAGGCCCGGGCAGGGGCCAGGCATCCGCAACATCCCTCGCCGCCCACTGCGGTCCAGGGGGACAGCGGGCCGGACCCACAGCTCACAGGTGCGCCCGGAAGCCCCAGGAGCAGGCCCAGCCAGGCTGCGGCCTCCGCCCCCGGGGACACCGGGACTCCGCGGCCGCCGCGCTCACGACTCCCCGGGCTCCCGCGAGCAGCGCCCGCCCCGAGGTTAACAGGATAAAGGCCGGGTAAGGGAGCCGACTCATTTCCCCGGCGCGCAAAGAAGCAATTACGCGACTTTCTAGCGTGGTTTCAAATATATTTTGCAAACGAGGACTCAGACAAATATTAATGGCAGCAAATTACAGTACTTAGCAGAATTATCACCTAGCAAAGAGGCGCTTTTAATCCATAAAAAATATCAACAAAAGATGTAAATATGAACCCCTCCGTGGGTGGTGCCGCTTGACGAAAATATACATCTAATCTCACAGTATGTTACCTCTGGTACCTGGGGAGAAGGTTAACAATTCCGAGACGCTCCCTATGGCTAGAGAACATATTTTGATGTAGATTTGTGGGTATCGGAGACTTTAAATCTATTGCATAATCACAGGGCCGGGGGAGGAGCCTGGCCGCCCACGTCTCCTTGACAGGCAGGGAGCCCTTGAGGGCCCTTGAAATGGCCCAATGCCCGCCCTGGAGCCCCCTGGCTGCCCAGGCCTCCTCCGGGGGACACGGAGCTGTCTGAGTGCTGGAACCCAGCGCAGGGGGGGGGCTCAGCATCCCGGCCACCGCCCCTCAAAAAGATGGGGAGACAGGGGAGGGCTTAACAGGGCAAGCCGCGTCAGCCTCCAGGTGGCACTGGCGTTCCCGTGAGGTGAGTGAGCCCCGGGGTGCAGACCCCACTGCAGTGGGGGTGTGGGGGCTGGGGAGTCCCCACAACAACATCACAGGACCCTGGGGGCCCCCGCAGCTCACCCGCTGACTTCCCGGGGGCCCCTGACTCCCTGGGGCTGGGACAGGCCGGGGCAGATGCTCAAAGCACACCAACCAGGGGCCTCAGCCCGGGCGGAAGAAGGGTCCCCGGGAGCGTGGGAGGGGAGGAGGGTGTCAGCGGGGCAGCGGGGGTGGTGTCCCCTCTGCGGTCCTCCCGGCAGGCCCCGGGGCCCGCGGGCTCTCCCCTGGGCACAGCGGAGTCATCGGGGACCGGAGAGGAGGGACACGCCGCGCTGGGCACTGTCTCCCTCAGCCTTGTCCCCGCTCTGCGTGACCGCGCTGTCCTCCCCAGCACGCACAGCCGGGTGGAGCTGGACCGGAGGGCTGCGGTGGCCGGGGCCCAGTGGAGGTGTCCTGCCCCAGTCCTCGGGGGACGGCGCCTGCAGGGGTGGGGGCCCTCGGGAGGTGCCGGGTCCTCAGGGCAGAGCCTGTCTCTCTCCCGGCCACGGCCCTGTGAGCAGGGAGCACGCAGCCCTCGTCCACCCGGAAACCAGACGCGGGTCCCCGCCAGGCCCCGGTGCCTCTGCCTGCCCCTTGCTCTGGGCCCCCCAGCCTGCAGGCCGCGGGGGGCGGGGGCCTGCTCCTCCAGCCCCTCGCCCTGCGGAGCGGGCCGTGGCCGCCTGAGCCGGGACAGCCGTTCCGTCGCCCAAAGAGAAGCTCTGTTGGAGACCCAAGCCCCGTTCCGACATCACCGACCAGGCCCCTGCCATTCACTGCGGCCCCCTGTCCCCTCCCAGGAGCGCCCCTCTCGGGAACCCCTGCGCCCAGGATGCCACCGCTCCACACACGCACGGGGGACACTTGGGTCTCCTCCAGGTTCGCCTCGTGTGTGGTTCTGACAGGTTAATGCCCGGTTCCCCAGAGACAGTCCTCGGGGGGAGGCACCTGCGGTTTGCAGGACCGGGCGGCGGTCCTCTGGCTCTCGGCAGCCCCCTGGGCCCAGCGCTGGCCGCTGTAGGCGGGCGAGTGAATGCAGCGGCCCCGGTGGGGCTGGCCCTTCCTTCCTCCGGGGCAACCGCGGCATCGCTCAGGAGACTCCTGCGCTCTCTCACGGGGAGGCCGTGCCCAGGAGCTGGCCTGCAGCCTGCCACCCACCCTGCTCCTCGTCACCCTTACACTCTGACCCCAGGTGAGAAAACTCCCCAGCAAAGCCCCTGTCCACGCACACCGGGGAGCCCGGCCTGCACTGGGGTTCCCACGAGCCATCCAGCAGGGTCCCCCGTCCTCACGGAGCCGCGTTCCCAGCATGCACCGGAGCAGCCAGGGCCATGAGCCATGGAAAGGACTTTGGGGTGCGGGCGCCCACTTCTTTGGTCCCTAAAGGGTGTCGGTGTGGGGCTGCTCTGGGCACCCCCCAGTCAGGGCTGAGCTGGCCCCCACCCCACCCCACCCCAGCACCAGGTGGCCCGGGCTGGCAGCTACGGGGGAGCCTCAGAGAGGAGGGCGGGGGGCGGAGACCAGGGAGGACGCCGCCGCGCACCCCGCTGGAGGGCTGGAGAGGGCCCACAGGGGAAGACGAGGTCCCGCAGGCAGGGCCCGGTGCCCCTTAGCCCTTCCGGTCTCCGGGCTCCCACCTCATCCCCTGACACTGGGGATGACCGAGGAGGCTTCCGAGTCCGAGACACGGCGTCCCTCCCTGTGTCAGGGCCGGGGCCCAAACACGGCCGGAGGCCGGAGAGGCCGGGCCGCCCGTGGCTCGGAACCGGGACTGTCCCACCCTCTCGGGGCCAGCGACAGCAGCCCTGGGCCCCCCCACAACAGTGACCTCCGCCCTGCACACTGCCATGCTGCCCCTCCCCCCACAGCTCACACCGCCAGGTGAGGGGCCTCGACCTCACCCCAAGTCAGAGACCCTGTCGGCGGCCTGACGGGCCGGGCAGCCAGGGAGCCCCGGACCTGAACCCACTGCATCGGCTGCCGGCTGCCACTCCCCTGGTCCGCCGTGAGAAGGCCCAGGCCGGGCGGCAGCCACACGAGGGGCCCCGTTGGGCACACGGCAACGTCCTGTGCATCCGGGGGGCCATCGGTGGGAAACCAACACGATTGGCAATGGTCACGCCGGCCCCCCGCACCAAGCCCTCCCCCAGGCCCAGGGAGGAGCCGAGGGCTTCACTCGAATGCACCCCCTCGTCTAACCCCAGCGACCCCCAAGATGCCCCTCACCCACGTCACACACAGCGGGAAGCCGGCCCCACAGAGGCCACTCGCCCAGGCTCTCTCCGGCTGCAAAGCTGGGGCTCGCGGCTCTCCCGCTGACTCAGCTCGGGGACAGAGCTGACCCCTCCCCCAGGAAGGACAGTCGGGCCAGGACAGCCCCGCAGATCTGCCCAAATCCCCACGGGAGGTGGTGGCCCTGGGGACCATCTCGCTGTCCAGGGCTGGCCCCAGCCTTCAAGAAGACAGGACCTTCCGGCTGTCGAGGCGAAGCCAAACCCCAGGGAAGCCGCGGGGTGCCCCTTACTGGCCCCTGGGCTTGTTACCCCCCCAGTGCCAGGGGTGGGGGGGCCCCAGGGAGAACGGACGGTTTACCGACAGGCAGGCCCAGCGACCTCGCGTCCGGCCCCCGACATCCAGGCCCCAGACAGAGGCGGACCCAGCTCCGCCGCGGTCAGACTCCATGCTCCGACGTCCCCCCGTGAGCCCCCCAAAGTCACGGGCGAGACAGGGCAGGGCACAACACGCCCCCCCTTCCGCGGTCATGCCCCTCGGGTCGGGCGGGCCTGCGGCAGGGAAACAATAAATTTGGGAAAACAGGCCGAGTGACCCGCCCGGTTGGCTGGGTTTGCTAGATACCATCTACATATTTTAGAGACGTACAGCCTTCTAATAGAAATGAATAAACTGCTCAACCGTAAAGTTGCTATAGGAGATATGCTTGTTCTGACTCGAAAGGGCATCTGCTATCTGCAATATTGATAATACTTTTCAAATTTCATCTGCTTTTGTTTGCATTCTGTGTCGTCTGTTTAAACACACGGCGAATGATAATGAATCCCGCATTATCTCCACTTTTTCAAGGCCGAACATATAACTTTATCACAAAAATAATTAAAATTCTTTGGCACTCTTGTATCTTTTCCATTAAACGTTATCAACCAGCGACAATAAACTAACACAGGCCCAAGGCTGGCCACGGGCCGCCTTTACAAAGAATGCGTTTGTCCCCGAGCGAGAGACATGAATTTTCCGTCGACAGGGTCAGGTTCTGAAGTTTCTGCTGGTAGGAGACCACAAATCTATGCCTCCTGTCCCCCACCAGGGGCTGGCGGCGGGCATGGGGCGCCCCGTAAATTCTCGGGCAAGAATACACTTTAATAGGCAGGAAAACCTTGGCAGCTTAATAATTCCGAGTTGCAAATTTAAATATTTTACATGTCATTAGACATTGAAAACAGAGATTTATGCCGCTCGTCGGCGAGGGACGCGGGTGCCGTCGACCTCCCGCGCAGCCGTGATTCTGCCGGAGGTCCGGGGCGTCGGGGCTCCGGTCCCGTCCAGTGCCGGCCGCCCTAAATCACGGCTGCGCTTTCCTCCCGGCCGTCGGGCGGCCCTCAAGGAGCCCCCTCCCCGGAGCAACGCCCCGCGGTGGCCAGGACCTGCCTCGGGTCGGGACGCCTGACCCCCCGCAAACAGGAGCAGCCACTCCGTGGCCAGGTGCCCACTGTGCCGAGGAGGCTGGGCGGGGCCCGGAGGGGCCTCTTAGGGGCCGATGGACACAGAACCGGGTCCCTGTCCGCGGGCTCAGGCAAGCAGGAGGGGGGGGGCGGGAGGAGGGGAGAAAGACCCCCCCCACCACCACCACCACACAGGCCCTGTGCCCCTGGCCGGCCCCGGCGTCTGTGGCGCCCTTAGGGCACCTCACAGCACCCCCGGGAAGCCCCCCCTCTGCGGCCCAGCTGTCCCCTCTCCCGCAGCCCACGGAGCCACGCCCAGCACCCTTCCCAGGGGGAAGCGCCTGACAGTCCCTGGGGCGGGCGGAACGGGGTCGGAGGGGCCTCACGTGCCCGCTGGGGCTGCCCCTTAGAGGACAGCAAGGGCTGGTGGTGGTGCGGGGCTCGGAGCCCCTTGAGGACAGCCGGGGGGCTCTGAACCACAGCTCGGGTGTGGGCGGGGGGGGAGCATTCCCGCAGCAGAAGGGGCAGCGGTGCCCCCAGGGGGAGTGCAGTGCGGCCACGTGGCACCCCCGTGGCTGTGGGACATCGCTGCGGGGCGGGGACGCTCCGTGTGCTCCTGCTCACACACCCTGACACACTCACACGCACACAGTCTTACACACCCACGGGCCACCCTGCTCACCTGGGCCCACCTGGGCCCATGCCCAGGCCCTCTAGGACAGTGTCCCCCGAGCTGGACAGAGGCCGCCCCTGGGCCGTGCACAGGGGCCTGGACAGGGCGTGGCGGGAACCGGTGGGGGGGGGTCCTCCAGCCCCCGAGAGCCCGGCAGTGTCCGGCCGGGGCCGTGCGCTCGCACGCCCTGGCAGCCGGGTCCCCACGGCCCGCCGCCCCCCCCCCCGCCTCTGCCCGTCCCCGGCGCCCCTGCGGCCCAGGCCCAGGGACTTGGGGTGTGATCGGGGCCTTCATCCACATCGACCTGTTCCCCGATTGTGATGTTCACTGAAAAATTTGCTGGGAGGGTCGGTTTCGTGTTCCCATGTTTAAAGCCACTATTATTTTTTTTTTTTTTAGAATGAGGAAACGCCCAGGAAGTCACCGTTAACGCCGCAGAGAGGCCGGGAGAGACGCGACCCCTGGAGAGAGGAGCCAGGGACAGAAGGGACACCCGCTCCCTCGGGCCAGGGTGGGGGGCGGGGGGGGGGCGCGGAGAACCGGGAGGGGCAGGTGAGCGGGGGCATCAGCAGGTGACAGGGGACCCCAGGCCTTCCCCACCCCCCAGGGCCTGGGGCTGAGGATGGCCAGGCCGGCCCAGAATGGGGGAGCACAGGGTTCCCAGACGGAGGGGACCTCGCAGAGGGTCTCCGAGGCGCAGGGACAATGCTTTCAGAGGGACACGGGCGGTGTCTGGAGGGTGGGGCCCGGGGAAGCCCCATGACCGGCCCCCCAACTCTCCTCTGACGAGGCCACGGGCGTTCCCAGCAGCCCCAGCAGGGGGGGGTCACGTGAGGCCCCTGCGACCCCCCCCCCAGGACAGAGCCCGCGGGTCGGCGAGCAGGAGCAGAGTGCGGGCGGCCAGGCGGACGGCTCCCCGGTGGGGGGGACACCGTCCTCAGGGGGGCACCTCAGTGTCCTTCTCTGAATCCGGGGGGCTGCATTCAAGTGGCCCGTCCCCAAGGCCCCGCCCCTCTGGCCTCCCTGAAGCACCAGCACCCCTCTGTCCTCCGTGAGCTCCGAAGCAGCTGGGGCCTGCCGGGTGGGGGCCTGCCGGGTGGGGGTCCCCTGGTGCCCCCCACCAGTGACTGGCACAGAGGTGGGGTCGCTGCGTCCAGCGCCCTCTCATCACTGACCCGACACCGTCGGCCCAGCAGGTCACCTTCGAATGACGCTGTGCGGACACTGACCGGGGCGTGCCCACCCCTGACCCACCGGGGTCGCCCCCCTCATGGAGGCGAGGGGCGCAGGCCCTGAAGGATCCCCCAGCTCCAAGACCCCACGACGCCACCGCCCCTGTCTCCTGCGAGGGCCCACCGAGGCTCTGGGGGCCCTGTCCCTGGACCCCCCCAGCCCCAGGGTCATGCTGGGGGAAGGGACGGGCACAGGGGAGGCGGCCCGGCAGGCACGGGGTGGGGGGGCCGCCGAGCACGCGGGGAGCCGCCGAGACGCCCGCCGGCCCCCCGCACCGCCCCGCTGCGGACCACAAAGGGCCCACTTCTCCTGCGCGCCCCACTCAACCATGTCCCTCCATTGTCAATAAAAGCCGTTTTTAAGGTCAGCCATCTCCCTCCATCAGCTGCCAGCCCCTCGCGGCCCCACCAGCGCCGGCCCCAGCACCACGCCACGAAATAAAAATTAAATTGTAGTTGGGCTTTTAAATCAACTCAATTAAAATAAAGAGATTCTTGGCTTGATATAGGGAAATATTTGTATTTCCAATTCTATTTGTTAATACATTGACATATGTGCTATTTTTTAAATGTAGCACTAAGTGCACTCTCCGTCAATGCCATGGATTTTTTAATAGACTGAGAAAACGCATTTCATTTCTTCTTATTTTCCTTCAATACATCATTTGGTTCTGCTTTTTTGCCTGCATGAAATTCATTTTCTAATGGAAATATTTGTTTTGTAAATCAAATATGTATTATGCACAAAATGCAAAGCGCAAATTAAATTATGTTAATGAAATGAAAGAGATATGAAATGCATATTTCATGGACAAAACATAACCTCGGCAAACAACCATTTCTTGATAAAATCTTTAAACACAATCTCCTTGTGTGACAGACATATTGTTAAAGTAGATAGCACCTCATTTAAAAGGTTCCCTTTAATATTAGTGCTCGGTATATAATTGTAAATAACTTTTGGGATGAAAAACCAATAATGAAATACTGTCTTTAATAGTTTGCTATTGATGTCAGCATAAAATCCGTCGTCGTTGAATATCGGAAATTGGGAAGCGCACAGAAATATTCTCAAAAGCCGTAAATGATTGCATATTTAAATAGAGCTGACTAAGGCAAAGATGTTATAGATATTAGTAAGAGGCAGAAAATTATGCTGACCTATCATTATATTTGACAAACCCACTGTTTTAAATTATACATTGGTTACACTTAATGAATAATAGATCGTGTAGGTGTTGATTCCCCGATCACAATGCTGGCGATACGCTACGTCGGGCGGTGCCGTGGCCGCAGACCAAGAGCCAGCCCGGGCTCACAGGGGTCGGGCCAGGGCCGCCGCTGGCCGCTGGCCGCTGGCCGCTGGCCGGTCAGTGCTCCCTGTGGGGCAGCGCCACCCCAGTGCCTGTCGTCTGCCCACAGGGAGCCACCTCTGCCCCCGCGTGGGGCACGGTGGAGGCTCAGCCCCGAGCCCAGCGAGGCCTGGGCCGACGGAGCTGGGAGGGACAGGCCTGGTGGGGAGTGGGGACAAGTCACCAAAGGACCTGGGTCTTTCCCTGTGTCTCAGATACCACCCACCTCGCAGGGGACGGGAAGGGAGGGCACGCGAGTACACACTCACACTCAACACGCACTCACACCCACACTCACTCAGACGCCCTCTGCTTCCCATAGGTTAATGGGCTCTCTGTGACTTGCGCCGTGAGAAGCAGTTAGGGTCTGGCCTTCAAGGGCCAGCAGAGCCACACAGGCCCCGCCCCCGTGTCCCCAGGGGCTGCTTGAACCACAGGTGTGTGCTGCCAGGTGTGGGAGAGGAGGAGGGCGTGAGAAAGGAGGGGGTGAGGAAGTCATTCCTCAGAGTTTTCTCAGTTGCTTCTGAAAATCGAGCCCCAAAGACCTGGGTTTGATGTGGGGGGAGAGGAGGAGAGAGTCCCGAGCCCCCAGCTTCGCCCCCCCCACAACCAGGGCTTCCCCCGCCCCCTCCCCAGGCAGAGCGACTGAGCCCCAGCCCCCGCCCAGCCCCTGCTCTGCCCGCCCTGCTGTGCGCCCCCGGGGAAGCCTCTCCCCCTCTCTGGGCCCCAGCAGCCTCACCCGGCGACTCGGCGGCTCGGCACAGGGCAGACTCGGAGGTCGCCAAGGTCCTGCCCGTCTGGCAGCCAGAGACACGGAGGGAGCAAATCTGCCCATGACTGAGCGCCACCCACCACGGTGTGCGAGGTGCCACGGCGTGGAAGGCGCATCTACATCCAGGCACCAATGGAGGGCGTGGCCGTGATGCCCAGCGAGGCCGTCCTGCTGCCATGGCTGCCCTGGGGGCCTCGGGGAGGATGGACAGGGAGCACCCACTGCCAAGGCCTGGGCCTCCAGGGGCACCACAAGCTCCCAGCGGTCCCCAGGGCTCCCCAGCCGCCACCTCACACCTCCCCCCCGGCACCCTAGGGCCCACGGGGAGAGCAAACACCGCCCCTTCAGGGCAGGAGGGGCTGTTTGTCGGGGCAGGTCCGGCGTGCGTGTCCCAGCTCCGGGCACCAGGCCGCCTGCTCCATTTCCCACAGAGACTCGAGGTGCTCGGCCTTCGGTCCCCCAGTTACTCGGGGGGGACCTGCGATGTGCCGGGCATCCAGCAGGGTGGACCGATGGCTGCCGGACACGCCCCTCCCTCGTGGAGTCCCTGGTGGTCCCGCTCAGCATGTAGCCACGGGGCGAGGGAGGCAACGTGCGGGTCGGTGTGTCGGCCGCCGCCGCGAGGGACCACGGCGCCTGCGGCTCCCACCGCGGGCCTGCCTGTCTCCGCCCAGAGCCTGAGACCACCACGCGGCCGGAGGCTCCCTCTGGCGCCGGGAGGGGGGGTCTGCATCTGCCTGGCCTGTGGCCTGCAGGCTGCCGTGGGCCGTCCTGAGCTCACGGGCCCGTCGTCGCCCCAGTGACCGTCCCCCATCCACGGGGCATCGCCGTGCGTCCCAGTGTTCCCCTGTTACAAGGACACTGTCGTAGTGACCTCAGGTTCGCCCTGCTCCAGCGCGACCCCGTCCAGCGACTTCCGTCCGCCGTGGCCCCGTCTGCCAGGGAGGCCGCACGTGGGTGCTGGGGGTCGGGATCAAGCCACAGGAATGTGGGGGGCACAATCCAACACGTGGCGGTATAGGAGCCTCCCACGGGGAGGCCTCACGGGGACGGACTCGGAGCTGGGACCCAGGGAGGCTCTGGAGATGCCCGACCAGGTGGGCGGGAGCGGGAGCCGGCGGCACCCCACACACCTGGGAGCGTGCAGGAGACCCGGCCGGCCTGCAACAGAAAGGGGGCCCCTGGGGAGCAACAGGAGGATGGACGGCGGGGCCAGCAGGGCCTGAGGGCAAAGGGTGCGCTTGAGGGCAAAGGGCGTGCCTGAGGCAGCATCTACCTCGAGTTCCGGCCCGTGCCCCATGTTACCCAGAATCCCGAGCTCCTCCCCCGTCCGTTCCCCACTTTCCCAGCCCGCCCGGGAGGAAGGGCAGGCCCCCCCACTCCATCAGGCAGCCCCACGGGGGGTTCTCAGGGCCTCAGACAGCGGAGTAGCAGCCTCCTTCTCCGCCAGGTCGGGCAGGAGCCTGGCCTTTGTGCCCCCGGAACGCGGGGCCGGAGCCCGGGGGTGGGGCTGACAGCCCCTCCAGGCCAGCCCCGCCCCGCAGCACCGGCGTCCAGGCCCGCGCTCCACCCCCGGGGGCCCGCCCGGCCCCTGTGACTCCGACCTCGCAGCGGGCACCCCTTCCTCTCCCGTCCCTGAAATTAACCCTCCCCGATTTTCATTATCGGATTCCGGGCCGGCGCCAGCTGCCCTTGCCGGCGTGCAGCCCCGGTTTACAGGGCCGAGATTAATATGAGGTGTTTGTAAAAGGCGAATATTAGCTTCTCCCTTATATCTGTCAGAATTAATAACTTCCCCATCGCAGATAACTCCGGGTCAATATGAGATCCGCAGATGGGGCTGGAAAGAAAATGTATGGAAACGCAACGTCTCATTTGGGCGCATTCAGAGCGGCCCTTTCATTCACTGAAATCCCGCGGCCGCTGTTCAAAGGTCAGCGGACTCTGTGGGCTGGAAAGACCCGCCATCTGGTCCTGGCGGCCTCGCGCGAGGACAAATCGCTGCCCTTCCGCGGGCAGCCCGGGGGCTGCGGGCCGGCCCTGCCAGGGCCTCTACGGGGCAGAGAGGGACGGAGGGCCCGCCCGCCGCCGCCGCCCCGGGCTCGCGCTGGGCCAGGAGCCAGCACCCGGCATGGGCGCCCCGCCAGCGGCCGCCATCCATATGCCCTGGCCACCTCCATGCCAAGTCCGGGGCCAGCGGTCCCCTCCCTTCCCCCCAGCAGCCTGGCCCTGGAATGCAGGCAGCCGGGGTTAACAGCCCGGGCCACGAAGGGCCCCGCTTGTCGTCGTTGTGGGGAGGCCGGGCCGCCCGCGGGCTCACCCACCGGGCGGCGGGGGCGGCGGCGGGCCTCCGGCACAGGCGGGCCCGCTCCCGGTCGGCGGTCGCTCATAAATCATCACCGACAAGCGGGAGTCTCCCCGGGAGCGGCCCGGGCGCCCTAGTTAGTTCTTTCCGTTTTATCTGGTTGTGGCCGCCGGCCCCCTCCGCCCCAGGCTGGCTGTTTCCCATAATAATCGCAGTTTCCACGGAAGCCGATGCCACGAGGCCCCACCCCCCCATGCTCTGGTGAGGAGTCAGGGCCCTTGCCCAGGCAGGCCGGAGGAGCCGCTTACATGGACAAGGGGGTGTGAGACTCGCCCGCCCACGGGTGGGGAGGGGCCGCAGGGCCCCCCCGGGACAGGGAGCCCTGAAGACCCGTCTCTTCCTCCACTGCGGGGTCCCCACCCTCCAGCCCCCCACAGCAGGGCTGACAGACAGGCGGGCCCTGGGTCACAGACAAAGGGACCTGGTGCCCCTTTGATCATAAATCATCACCGACAAGCGGGAGTCTCCCCGGGCAGTGGGCCCGGGCCAGGGACACCTGCCTGTCCCCCGCACAGACTTCCCACAGGGCTCCGACCCTGGGCCCCCTCCAGAGGCCGGGTGGGCCCCAGACCCCTGGCCCACGTTGCCTGCAGGTTCCAGAAGGCAGAGCCCAGGCCCCCCCAGGGGCCGAGGGAGGAAGCCAGGACAGCCCCCCGGCCCCGCCCCCAGGTGGGGGTCCTTTCCTTCTGCCCGGAAACCCGCCCTGGGCTGTGCGGGGGCAGCTGGGGGAGATGAAGGGGAATTCTCTTTCTTCCCCCTGAGCCCCTCAAACTCACGGCGACCCACAGTTAAATCCCCCTGACAAGGCTCGCTTCCCGCCCAGCCAGCTACAACTCTCCACAAATAAACAAGGCCTGGGCCGGCTTTTCCTGCAGCTCCGGGGGCCGGGCTGGGGAGGAGGGGTGCAGGGGCGGCCCACCGGAGGGGGAGCAGGACAATGCCCTCCAAGATGGGGCGCCGGGCCTGCCCCCACAGCCCAGAGTCCCCCTGAGAGCAGCACCTCTGGGCTGGGAAGGGGCAGGAGCCTTGGCCACCTGGGCACCCCCTCTCCCCTCCCTACCAGCCCCACCCCCACACCCCGGCCCCTGGGGCTCTCGCCCTGGTGCCCAGAGCGGGCGGTAAGCCCCGCCCACCCCGCTGCCAGTGGTGTGAGCCTGCCCGGCAGCAGACGGGTCCCCCCACTCCCGGCTGGGGGCCCTAGCAGGCCTGTGCGCCGGACACCAGGGTGGCTGGGGCGCAGGGTGGCAGTCCCGCCCCAGCGGTTGGAAGTCGAGGGGAAGGGACTCCAAACTCTGCCCCCCCTCGAGGTCACACACAGGCTGCAGCCCCAGCCACCTGAGCTGTCCGGCCTGCAGCCCCGCTCAGAGGGGCGAGCCCCGGAGCCTCCCGGGGCTGGTGGGGGGCACCGTTCCGGGCCGGGCTCCCTGCCCATCTGACAGTGACAGGGGATTACCCTCCCACCCCCTGACCCAGAGCTAAAGGGTGGGGACTACGGGAAGGCCGAGGAGACTCGGGGCTTCAGCCTTGGACTTGGGGGGGCCCCCTGCCCCACCCGGGCCTTGAGGGCAGCCCCCTGCAGAGAAGCCCCCACCCACAGGCTTGCTCTGCTCCAACCCGGGATGCATGCCCACCCATCTGCCCATCTGTCCATCTGTCCATCCCCATGCTGAGGATGCAGCAGCCAACACGACGGGTGGAACAGGCGAGCCCCACCACCCGCACTGCACCGCTGGAGGGGGCCAGAGGGCAGAGGGCAGGCTGCCGTCCCGGCAATCAGGGATGGCTCCCTGGAGGAGGCGAGGTTTAGGCCAGACTGACCAGACAACAGGCTGAGGAAAGAACCCCCGGGCCAGGAGACAGCAAGGACACAGCCCAGACTCGCAAAGTGCTCAGAGTGTTCTAGAAAACACAAGGACGGTAAGACTGACATTGGTTTAGAGGGTGGCCCCAGCCCTCTTCCCACCGGAACGCCGAACGCCTGGGTGGGCTGCAGGGGGCGCTGAGCTGCCCCAGGGAAGCCCCCACGCAGGGAGCCCTGGGGGAGGGGAGGGGAAGAAGAGGCCCAGGGGGCGGAGCCTCCCGACGAAGCTGCCTGCCACCTGCCCCAGCCCCTGGGCCTCTGAGCCGCTCCCCTCTGGCCCATCTCGGCGGCCACCAGGCCGCACCTGGGCTCCTGGCAAAGACCCGAGCCAACTCCCTCCAGTTCGTGCAGGAGGGAGGATGCTTGGGAAGGCTGAACACAGGGCCCTCGACCAAACTCCTCCTGCCTCTGGGGGTCCCACCAGCACCCTGGCTCCCGCCTCCTCCAGGGAGCCTGCCCCCACCCCTGCAGATGGCAGCAGCCCCGCCCCGTGCCTGCCTTTAGCTTTCTCCTGGTGCCGGGGCCACGCCGTGCCCCGTGGCTGGCTCTACCCGCTCTGCCGTGTGGCTCCCCCAGGCTCAGACGGCTCGGAAGGGTGTGGCCGGCATGAGGCTGGAGGACCCCAGGCAGAGCGGGGTGCCTGGGACTCGAGTGGGAGCTCAGGGTCACGACACGCATGGGAGCTGCTTTGGGGGAGCCCCTTCCCCCGAGCCCACAGCGTCACATCGCTCCTCGCCTCCAGGTGAGAACTCACACTCTGGGGTTGGGAGGTGACCTGCCCCAGGGGGAGCCCACGAGGGCACCGTGTCACCAGGGCCAGTGACTGGCTCAGGCAAGGGCTCCTGTGACTTTTAGGGGCGCAGCTGTCCTTGGGCTGCTGAGGTGACAGGAGCCGTCTTTGGTGAGAACGAAGCCAGCACAGAGGGAGGCAGAGCTAATTCAGAAGAAGCAGAGCCTTCATGTTGTTGTTAAGAGCCTTGATCCAGCCATGCCTGAAAGCCGGGAGTTGAGTCTGTGTCCCTGGTAACCAGACTCCCGGAACCAGGATAGACCCCAGAGCCAGCCCGGCTCCCTGCTGCAGGATCTGCACCCCACGTCCCCGCCGCCAACAGCCACAGACTTCCATCCGCAGCACGGCAGCCGGTCCCACCAGAGGGCTGCCGCCCCCCCAGCCCTGCCGCCCCGCCTCGTCCGGGGCAGCCGCCGCCAGGGCAGAGCTGAGCAGCGGCCTGGAGTCACCGAGCCGCGCAGACACGACCAGCCTCCTCGGGACGCACACGCCTCCACCGCACACAGTCTGTGCCTCCGTGACCTTCCGGGCACATTTACTCGGGGCACGCCGGCCAAATGTCAGGCCCGCCCCGGGAGACTCGGGTCAATGCCCAGTATCGACGGTGCCGCCGGCCCTGGCTCGGCACCCCACGGCCCCCACAGCCCTGGCTCGGGGTTGGGGGGGTGGGGGTGCTCCTGCAGGCCGGCACCCCCCGGCGCTCCGAGGGGAGCGCAGCCCTAGGGGGGAGGGCGGGGCGGAGAGGAGCCCGGCACTGCTCTTGGGCAGCCACCCCCCCAGGCCCGGCCCGGCCCCCGCCTGGCCCGCCCAGCCCGCCACCCCCACGGGGTGGGCTCCTCGCGGTGGGCTTGGCAGCCGCGGCCTCCCAGGCGGACGGGAGGGCAAATAGCAGGCACTTGGCAGGCCCCTGGATTTCTGAGCAGAGCAGAAATGTCAGGTGGCCTCGACGACAGGCTGTGAGCTCCGGGGGCTCTGCACTCCCAGGGCCGGAGCGTGGGGGAGCCCCCAAAGCCCCCAGGGAGGGGTTCGTCCCAACATTCTCAGGGCCAGCCACCGCGACAAGCTTCCCTCCCCAGGCCTGGCCACGGGGCTGAGGCCAGACTTGGAGGCCAGAGAGACGACCAGACCCTCCCACCCACAGCGGCTGCGCACCTGCCTCGGCCCACGCTTCCTAAGCCGCTCGGGGCTCCGGGGACCCTGCTGAGGCCGGGAAGGGGCAGGGCCGGCCCCCTGGGCCTGCGGGGTGACAGAGGGACCTTGAGGGCGCTCTCACACTGAGCTCAGACCCCGGGGGCTGGGCACATACAGTGGGGGTTGGGGCACCGGGCCAGTTGGAGGGGCTTGAGCCCACCCACTGCCGCCAGCACTCCCTGACACTCATCCAGCTGGCTGCACCAATGCCACCTCAGGTCCCCTCCCCCCCATGCCCCTGGGGCGGCCGCTCATTCTCCCCGGAGGGAACCCTCTGCTCCCCGCTCCCAGGAGCTGCGGCCCTCAGGGGCGGACACCACTGGGCGGTGGGCCGGGTGGGGAGACCGGGCTGGAGGGCGGAGAAGGCTCCGGAGGGCCAGCGGGCGGTTCCGGCAGTGCTGCAGGGGCTGTGAGCGGCGGCGGCCTGGCCCGGGAGCGGAGGCCGGCGCTCCCACAGCCCGCTGGCCCTCGGAGGAGCCGCCGGAGTCGGGGACACCGGGCACTTCCCGGCCCTCCAGGCCTGGGCCTGCCCGTTACCCTCGTCACCCCAGGGACCGGAAGGGGCACCAAGCCCCTGAGCTTGGGGAGCCCGGGAACTGGAGGCCAGAAGGAGGGGAGGCTGGTCCGCCGGCCAGGGATGGGCAGGGCACCCCCTCTCCCCAGGGCCTCGCGCTGGCCCTGACCCTCAACCCTGCGACGGCCCTCAAACCTGCGACGGCCCTCAAACCTGCGACGGCCCCCCCCCGCCCCGTGTCCAAACCCCTTCCCTCGCACGGGCCGACCCGGAGCCCGGAACCCACGCCAGGACCCTCGAGTCTTACCGTGGACATGGGGGCCAAGAAGGCGGCTCTCTCCCCGGGGTGGGGGCCGGCGGTCTGGGAGGGCACGTGGCAGCCCCGCCCCTGGAGGCTCGTCCCCGCAGGGCCGGCTCCGGCCCGTCCTCCCGGCCCCTCTGGAGGCTGGAACCACAGCTGAGGGCGGACCCTCGGGAGGGGCCCTTCACTCTCCCCCGTGGACCCACGGGCCCGCGTGACCCTCCCGGAAGCGATGGTCCGCTGTCCAGAAACGCCGGTGCTGAACCCCTCGGTCCCTGCCGGACCCCGGGGCCAGGGCACCGGTGGGCCTCGCAATCAAAGCCTTCCCGAGTGCCAAAGCTGGTCCGCGGCGTCGGCCTCTGCGCCCGTCGGCAGAGAGCCGTGCCGGGCAACAGCTTGCTCACGGGGCCAGGGTGGCCGGGCCTCCTTCCAGGGTGGGACCGGGGTGGCATGAGGGGGCCCCAGTGTCGGGATGGCGGAGGGGGCGCAGGGGCGGCTGCGGGGCAGCGGGTGTGGGCTGGGCCCCTGCAGGCTGGGAAGGGGCCTCGGACTCAGGAGACACAAGGGGCTCAGGCCAGTCCTGGGGGGTCACCGCCAGGGGGGCCAGGGGACGTGGCAGCCGAGGGCTGGGCCCAGGCGTGGACGGTGGAGGGACCCAGGGTGGCGGAGGGACCTGCCGAGCGTCACGTGTGACAGCTCTGCTTCTGAATGCAGTGGCCTCGGGTCCCCTGGGTGGCCCCGGGGCCCCGACGCCCCCACCGGCTCCCGCCCAGGCCTCTCCCCACCGAGGCCTCCCAGCCCCGCACCGGCCTTCCCCGCCCAGCACCCCCCGCCGCCCCCCTCCTGCCTGGCCTGGCTCGGGGGCTGCTGCAGGGCTCCTGGAGTGTGCTGGGCTCCCTCCCAGGCCGCTGCGCCCGCCGGGACCCTTGGCTGCCGACCCTCAACCCTCGACCGTCCTGGCCGCCGGCCCTGCCGTCCCGGGGGCTCAGGTGGAAGGAAGCTCTCACTCCCGGGAGGTCAGGGCCCCTGCTGCCCACTCTCAGGGTGCTCTGGGGGTCCCCTGGGCCCCTCACCACTTCGGGGCTGAGCCGCTGCCCCCGCCCCCGACTGACCGTGAGCTCATCGAGGGCCGGAACCGTGGCGACTCCCAGCTCACAGCCCGGGTCTGGCCCCAGGAGGGCGCACAGGGAAGGAGTGTGGTGGGCACTCCCCACTGCGGGGAGGAGCCTCTGCCCCAGGGGTGCCCCTCCATGTCCCTGGGGGACAAGCTTGAGGGCCGGCGGCTGGGCCGACAGTGACTGAGGGGAGCGGGAGGGAAGGAGGGGCCGTGTGAGGCCCCTGCCCCGGGCCCCGGGCTCGGGCGTCTCACCTGGGCTTCCCGGGGGAGGGGCGCAGGTGCAGGGCAGGAAACCCGCTCCGAACCGGCCTGCCGAGCCCCACAGGGAACCCCCAGGGGGCGGGGGGCCATCCACGCCTGCCCCGGGGGCCACTGGCGGCCAGATGCAGACCCCCAGGCCTCACCGCGTTCGCGTCTGCCGCCTCCTCTCGGCTCTGTCAACAGGAGACCCCCGCACAGCGGTCCCACCAAATCTGTCACCGGAGGTTCTTTGCGGCTGTGACAACCGCACGCTCTGTAGGAAGGAGGTTTGCGGCCGTGGTGAGACCGACAGCGGGGGCGGAGGCTGGCAGCACCTGGGCCAGCACCACCCAGGCCCCCGGAGGACCAGCTGTGGGGGGGGGTGGGGGAGGCCCGGACAGGCCTCCCCAGGGACACGAAGGAGCCGGCGGCAGCGGAGCCACCTCCGGACGACCAGGCAGGTGCCCGCCGCTCACCTGCGGAAGAAGGACATGGGATGGGCGACGGCTGGGAGACGGGGAAACGCCCGCCAGGCTCGGGAAGCAGGCGACGACCCCCCCGGGGCACGCGGATGAGGGTGCCCGGGGGCTGCCCGCCCGTCCGCGGTGCCTGCCGCCGGCCAGTCCGTCAGCGACGGAGCCGACTCGCGCCTTCCTGCAGCGTCACGGCCGGGCTGGGGCCGCGCCTGTGCCACTGAGGAGCTGCGCGGGCGGCTGGGGCTCGCGTGGACAGCTGCTCCTGGCGTGCGCGGAGGCGCAGAGTGGGGGGCGCGGGAGGGCCTGCGGCGTGGGGGGCGCCGGTCTGACTGACAGTCACGGGGGGCGGGGAGCAGGGGAAACGGCGGCCGTGGGGGGAGGGGCAGCGTCTCCAGGGCCCGTGGGGGGTCTCCTTCGGGCGCAGGGATCCCGTCTCTCCTGGGCTGCCTGCGGGGGGTCTGGTGGGCCTGCAGGGGGTCAGGTGGGGGTGGGGGTGACCCACCCCTCGGCGGGGAAGCGGGCAGAAGGCGCTGGGCGTCCAGGCCGGAACCGGGGCAGTTTCCGCCCCGTCCTGGCGGCGGCCGCCGCCGGCCGGTCTTCCCCGCCCGGCGGTTTAGTCTCCGGGACCGGAGCGCGCTCTAGTTTTGCCATTCCAGCCGTCCGACCTCCCGGGCTCTGAGCAAACAAAACCCGATCTCGTCTGAGATGTTCCGGGCCATAGCAATGACGCCCGGCCCGGGTTCAGGTGTGGTGGGGTATTTAAAATCCGAGTCTCCGTTTTTCTGATACAGAGACAGACAGCTTCTTGTGCTCTGATTAATTACGATTTTGCGTTTCGGTGGTGGGGGCGGGGGATCGCCTTTCCTATTCTACATTATTAATTGGTTATTTAATTAGGAATTCTCCGAGCTTCAGATGTGGGGAAGCTGCATCTGCGCGCGGGTTTGAAAACCAGCCACGCTCCATCCCGCCGCCGCCTCTCCGGATCCGATGAAGGTCACGGGCAGACGTGACGGTCCGGCTCCGCCGCAGCGAGGGACGCCGCCCGGACCCGACCGGCGTGGAGCCTGCGCGCCCGCGCTCCGAGGGCGGCCCCGGGCGCGCGGTGTCTCCCCAAGCAAGCCCCGCCCCGAGGAAGGGGCTCCACCACCGCGGGGAACGGGGGGCCGGCGGCGTCCTCCACAGGGAGCGGACTCCTCGGAGGAGATCGTGGAATCGGCACCAGGCGCCGCTCGCAGACTAAATGGCTGTGTGGGCGAATCAATTACTGCGGAGCCCGGAGCTGTCATAATATTTAGCGCGCAGCAGCGAGGGCTTCAGGTTCGACGAGGCGGGCTCCCGCCGGGAGCGGCCCGGGCACCCGCACAGCCCAGAGGGGCCGCCCTGGGGGCCTGGGGGCCGCCTGCAGCCGCCCTGATTCTCGGGGGCTCTGTGCCAGCCTGGGGGCGGGGCCGGGGGACGACGGCGGGGAAAGGCCCCGCCCACCGAGCCCACCCAGCCCGCCCAGCCCACCTCGCCGCCCCACGGAGACACCGCGCCGGCCGCCGCCTTCTCAGTGCTGGGGAGCCGCTCCCTTATTAATACAATAATTATCCCTGCCTGACAGCGCCATTTATAACCATCCACTCTGCGTCCACCCGGCCCTGTTTTCATTAATCAATGGGCACGGAGGCGACTGTCACCGCCCTCTGGATGGTGACTTACGGCTCCGGCGGCTCCTGGCCGGCGGACCTGGGTCAGGTGAGGACGCAGCCTCTTCGGCTGCAGGTGGGGAAGCTTCTCGCAGGTGGGCCTGGGTGCTGCCCAAAGGCTTCGGGGATGGTGCCCAGGGCCCCCCAAGCACCTCGGAGACGGCCACCCCCCAGCAGGACGGGGGAGGCCGCAGGGGTGCTGTCATCGGGGCGCGTCCCCACGGCTGGGGGCGTGAGGGAAGCCCCCTGGCCCAGAGGCCGCGGGCGTGTGAGCGGTGGTGTCGGGGCCCTCGGGCCACCCCCGAATTGGGCCGGGACCCCAGGGCTGCACAGGGGGCCCGGCCCTCAGAGCCCGGAAGGGGCACGGCTCAGCAGCCCCCCACTTCTGCGCCTGCCTGCACGCCGCGGCTGTGTGAGGCCCAGGACGCCACACCTCTCTGTCCCCAGGGGCTGGGGCGCCTGTTCCCGGCTGATCGCCGGCCCGGACTTGCCCCGACACCTGCGGCGCACCTGGCCGGGACGCTAGGGGGGCACCGCTCTGGGCTGGCTCACAGGCGGAAGGGAGGCTTCCTCGTGCAGTTCGGACACCCGCCGGCCCTTCCCCCGGAGAGCTCGCCTCTGAGCACCCCTGCCGCCCGGCGACGGAGGGCTTCTTTTGACTTAAAAGAAAGAGGGCTGTCAGCTCAAACCTGGGCCTCAGGCCCCCTCCCCGGCTCCCCACGGGACCCCCGGCTGGGAGCGTCTCCCTCAGCCTGCGTGCGCCCCTGGGCCCCTCCGGAGGGGAAGGGGCCTGCGCTGGCCACAGACGCCACAGAGTTCTCCCCGCAGCTCCCGGCAGCCTTGGCCTCGGACCCCGAGGAGGGGACCAGCTGAGAGAGCCAGAAGACGGCAAAGGAGTCCACGGCCGAGAGTCCCGACAGGAAGGGGGTCTCCCGGACTGTGCGCAGCGCCTCCAGGAGAAAGTATCGACTCAGGGAGAGCCCTTCCAGACGCCGGAGCGTGCAGAGAGAGAGCCCGCCCTCACGGACGGGGGAGCTGAGCGTGTGTGGACGTCAGAGCCGTCCCATCAGCGTCCGGCGGGGACGTCCCAGAAGCCGGCTCAGCGCCGGGGAGGCACAGGAGCCCTGGGGCCCGCTGCACCCCGGGCGGGAGAGGAAGGGCCGGCCTGCCCGCGCCAGGACCACGGCCAGGAGGTGATTAAGGGGTGCAGCGTCCTGGGAGACCTCGGAGACAGAGCCCGAGACTCGGGGGTCCGGGTCGACAAAGTCACATCAGAACAGCCGGGAGGCGGGGGGCCGGGGGGCCGCTGCTCAGCTGTCGGGACAGAGGAGAAACTGGATTCTCCCCCCACCCCGCGTCGGGGTGGAGACGGGGACCAGGCGGGTTCAAGGCTTCAGTGTTAAAAACGCTACTTCAGGCTTCTCCATAAAAACCAGGTCTAGACGTCATTCAGACCTTGGGGTGGGAGCGCGTTCCCCTCGGGCGACTCGCCGGTGACGATGAAGGGACGCACGAACACATCTGACTCTGTCGAAACTGAGAACTCTGTGTTCATCCAGATGCGTCCGGGAGTAGAGAGACCAGCACCGGTGACAGACGCCTTCAGGGACGATGACTGCTGGTCCCAGCGTCCTGAGCGGCAGATGGGCGTGAACAATGGGGCAGCGGAAAAGGGGCTCGTGACACCCACGCGGGGCGGGGCGCCAGGCGGGCGCCGGAGGTCGGGGGGCCCTTCGCACAGCTGACGGTCTGACCGTGGTGCTGCACCCCCGACCGACGCAGACCGTCCCAGAGCCGCCTGTGGCTGGAAGGTGGCGCTGAAGAAGAGGAGGAGGACGGGCGAGGGCAGAACAGGCATCTCCCCGGGGAGTGGGGACGTGGGGCGTCGGTTCCCGGGAGAGGGCACCCCAGGCCGAAGGTCGGGGCCCTCCCAAATCCCCAGGTTGGGCCCCAGAGCCTGGCGGGACTGTGTCAGGAGGCGGGGCTTCTGGGGGGGCTCCGGTGTGAGGGTGGGGCCCCCACGGACGGGGTCAGTGCCCTCGGAGAAGAGACAGGCAGGCCCGCGCCCACCCGGCCCAGCGGGGCTTCTCGTGGGGGCCCTGCAGGCCCAGGGGAGGGTCCCCACGGGCGGGAAGCTCGGGGAGGCGGGGCGGGAGCGCAGGCCGGAGTTGGGAAGCGGCAGAGCCGTGGGCCCCGCGGGGCTGGCCCCGAGCAGGTCTGTGTGTGACGGGGCCGTGGGCCAGGGCGGGGGGCGAGCTCGGTGCTGGCGTCTGCGCCCCTCCCCCCGAGACCGTGTCCCCTCCACCTGCAGCCCAGCCCCCACCCGGCCCCGTCTCCCTCGCGCACACGGTGCGGAGTTCCGCAGCTTGGAACCGGCCCGGAGAAGTGGGACAGTTTGTCCCCGGTCACTCGGGGGGCGGCGCCGGGCAGGAGCCGGGTCCCCCACCACAGGGGCGTGTCCGCAAGTGGCCCGCGGCTCAGGGTTCGAACGGCCCGCGTGTTTGGTTGAGGGGCCGGCCCGGGGCTCCAGGACTCGAGACCCCGGCACTGTCCGCTCCCATGGCTCTGGCGGCACCGGGAGGCCCAGACGGCCCCTGTGGGCCTGAGGAACCGCCCCCTTTTCCGAGGCAGCTGTCCGTCCGTCGGCACCTCCGTCCCTTCTCCAGGTCCCGCTCCGAGCGAGACCCGAGGCACCGGCTCCTGAGAACCTCAGGCCTGCCCAAGGGAGCCTTCCTTCCGGGGAAACCCGGGGGCCTGTGCGTCCCTCTGAGAGG